CGAGCTCCCTCCTTTCTCTCTTTTGAACAGTTTTTCCGGTTTCGTGGTATATTCTTTTCCTAAGTTTCGATATTTTTTTCGCTCTCTTTCTCTTTCTCTTTCTCCTTTCAATCCCCGCTTCCGAATAGTCCCCCTTTTTGTTAAATTACTGGTTGAAGTGTTACCTGCAGAACTACCACAGCCATTTTCAACTTCGTTGTCGTTTCTGTTTGATGTTTCATGGTCATATTCGTTTTGCAGACTGTCCAAGATATTGTAATTGTCATTCTCGTTTGTCGGACCAGGATAATTCGTACCCTAAAAAAATCAGATCAGAGATCTTGATCATTACTTGAACACATTGTTTGATAATAATAGATAGATAGATAAACAATTCATTTGACTATATCATATACATATGCATATTCATAGCAAGTCATTTGGTCTCAAAAGATATCAAGTAAACCATTTAGTAATACACTAATACACTTTCAAAAGTAATAACAAAATATCACAGCACATAAACATACAAAAATATAAGAGAAATATAAGAAATAGTTAAACAAACAGTACATAAACGGTAAGTATATTCTCAGAGGATAAAGGTCACATCTTGAATATCTTCCAAGTACTCATTGATTGAGTAAAAACTGTTTTTGAGCAAAAACGATTTGATGGTTCGTTTAAACTTATTCACACTCATCGTTTTGATTTGACGAGGCAGTGCATTGTAGAGAATAAAATCTAAAGAATTTTTTTGTGAGACAGAAAGCTTATATCTATAAAGTCTGATATTGTCAGAGTTTCTAGTGTTATGATGGTGAATGTCAGCATGTGTAGTGAGGTTGGACGATGTTTTGTGTATTTTAAGGAGTGAATTCTAAATGTATAGGGACGAAAGAGTCATGATTCTGAGTTTGATAAATAAAGGTCTACACGTATTTCTATACCCTAGATTACCTAATATTCATATTGCCATTTTTTGTTGGATGAAAATAACATTAGCAGCCGAGGATTTTTCCCACAGTAACCCATATGATACTGAAACAGTGAGAAATACACTGTTTTCGTAGTTTCGTAGTTTGAAATATGCCTGAGTTGTCGCAGAAGAAATAATATGCTCGACAGTTTATGTTTCAATTGATCTATATGAGCATTCCAACTCAGTTTAGAGTCTAAAGTAACATCAAGTAGCTTCACATTCTGGTCTTGTTGTTCACACTGACGGGTCGTTACGAGTAGCCTGTGAGACTTGTCATTATTTAGTTTCAGATTGTGGGCCCTAAACCATGTTCCAACTTTTCCTTCAATTTCTTTAGATCGATCTAATAAAACGTGGTTATCTGGACTTGAACATATAAATGACGTATCATCGACAAAAAGAACACATTTGAAGGGAGTTATGAAGTTGCTTAGCTCATCAACATAAATAAAAAATAAAAATGGCCCCAGAACAGAACAGAACATATTGCACATCATGATTCATTTCCTTAAAATTCGATGTACTATTATTGAAAGGAAAGGAACTGAAATCGATTTTTCAGGTAGGATTCAAAAAGTGAGAATGCAACTCTTCTTATTCCATAAAAATATAATTTTTTCAGTAGAATGTCATGATCGACACAGTCGAAGGCTTTCGAGAGGTCGCACAATGTGATAGCTGTATGATTCCGTTGTTTAAGGCTCTCGATTATGCCACTGATTATATCCATTACCGCTGCTGTGGTTGAGCTACCAGCTCTAAAACCAAACTGCGTGTCATTAAAATATAAACTAAAGTCAGTAAGGTAAAAATATGTAACTGTTTCACAGTTTTGTCTATATAAATATTGAATTATAATGAAAACGTATATCACATATATCATGTCTATATTTGTTAACATTATGGAAATTTTATAACAAAATACCAGTATCTATCCTTCTTCTGTTTTCTGCTATCGTCATGAAATTGTCATGAATAATTCTTGCATCGAATTTGGTTCCATGTTATACAGCAAATCGAAAATTAAATTCTTAAAAGTATGCCGTCGGCATTCTTCTCTGATTGTCAGTGGTAAATGATTAAAAAATTTGATGGCCATATAGCGTGGACCTCTTTTTGTATTTCATAATCTATGTTTAGGAAGAATGAGGTTCGAGTTATTCATAGTAAAGTACTCATGAATATTTTTATGAATGATGAATTTTTCTTCATTGTCATAAACGAAAAAAACACAAACATAAATATAAATCTCATATAAGGTAAGTAACGAGTAACGACAGGAATTTGTGAAGTTCATGTTAGGCATAGTCTTTATTATACATTCTTGCATAATGAAAATGCGATCCAAGTGAGTACTTCCGCCTTAGGCCATAACTCCATATTTAAGGAAAGGATAGATAGTTCTAAAGTATGCAGTTTTTAGTGCAGCTGTATTAAGTGACTTCTTAAAACTCTAATTGCATAACATTTGCTAGCAACTTTTTTTGCAAGATGCTCAGTGTGTGCGCCAAAGTTTAATTTTTCATCTAGATAGACCCCTAACATTTTTGTATATGATTCAGATGAAGTTCATTTTGAATAAAATATGTTGAGGATGTAGAAACAACATTCAATATGTTACTTTCCAAATTCATAAGGCAGTCAAGAGGGGAAACAAGATTGGAATTATCAGCATGACTGACAAGTTTGGAGGTGATGTTTTCAAAATTTCAGGAAAATCGTTTACATGAATATTAAACAACAACGGACTCAGCACACTTCCTGGTGAGACACCTTCATGAATATTAGCTATGTCAGAGTAAAAACTTTCTGTTGATGTTTAATACAAACTTTTTGTTTTCTCTTGCTCAGATACGTCTTCATAAGATCCAAAGCTTTCCATGATGACATAGCCTTTATATCAACACAGAATGGTCCACACAGTCAGAAGCTTCACCCAGGTCCAGAAAAACACCACAAGCACTAGAGTCTTGTTCTAGTACCTCAATAATGAATTTTGTCTATGACATAACACAGTACTGTTTCTGTATTTTTCCGTTGAGAAAACCGTGTTAGAAATCATTGAACAAATTATGGGCATTGAAGAAATTAATAATTTTATTTGATGTGATCACTTCGAATAACTAATAAAAAATATCAACAAACAGATTGGCCAATAATTATCCATATCGTCCTGTTCTTCCTTTTTATGGAGTGGTAACATTATTGATAGTTCCATTTGATCTGGAAATATTCCTGACTCTGAACAAATAACACAAATATGACAGAGTACGGAGAATGTGAAAGAGCACACTTTTTCAATAATATAGATGTACCGCTACTCAATTTATTTTTAAGTTTTCTCCTTGCCTGAATAATTTCTTCTTCTCTGAATGGATATAAAAATGAATGTTGGCATCTAGTTGATGTGATTTTCAGCTGATATATGATTCTTCTTTGATTATAAAAGGCGAAGAATTAAGAAAGTGAGTATTGAAGCTGTTTGCTAGATCAACATAATTAATGGTCGATATTACAAGGCAAAACCATTTAATTTTTTGAATATTTCTTGTTGAGAGAATTTATTATATTCCAGGTGATTTTCGATTCATCATCGCTATTTTGTATTAAATTAAAGAAACGTTCACGTTTTATTTTATTCAGAAGTGTCTATATGCATCCCATATTCGTTATATACATTTTTGAAGAAACAACAGACAAAAGACAACATTAATTGTAGAATACTCACTATATTTCTCATAATTTGAACCTCTTTGGTTATTCACTTATTTTGTTACACTGTTTTATTATTCATTTTTTATGGGGAAATTCGAATGGAGAAGATCTTGTATTTCTTTCAAAAATGTACTGCATTTCTCATTTACATTAGACTCTAGAAATATTTCATTTCAACTATGTGACTATAATAATGATGATAATAATAACAATAATCGAACAAGGTGATCACCGAGTTGGAACCCGTTCAGCAAAAGGCTCATATAAAAGCCGCAGAGATCACCTCACTTCTGCGGCAACACAAGGATAAGCCAATGCATGGGATCTTCTTCAAAAACAGTCTACCGCAGTCACATGATAGGTATAGAGATTCCTGACACAAGGTGCAGGGCCTGCCGCGAGGCGTTCGAGATACTAATGTACTTGCTATCAGCATGTCCAGCAATTGTGGTCTTGGCCTACATCCATCAACATAACGCGGCCGTAAGAGTGCTTCATTACCATCTACGGCACTGAGACACCCATGTTGCTCTACGCTCCAAAGAATATTGAGTCCGTTGTGGGGAGCGAGACGTGTCCAATTTATTGAAACTAATCGTTTCCCACCCCCAGGCTAATGAGCCTCATCTAGTCCTTCTCGATCACCAGAACAAGACGATATTTATGGAGTTTTCAGCTTCTGGCGAGACGAATATCGTCCAAAAAGAGGAGAAAAAACAGATAAAATATCGAGATTTTCTCTTCGAATTCCACAGACTCTATCCAGACCACTCTGTCAAGATGGTTGTTCTGATTATTGGAGTCCTTGGTGGAATAACGTCCCCTCTACTCTCGAATCTCAAAATCATACCGGCTCGCCGTACTAAGGCAGAAATCTTTGCCGGACAGATGCAGAAGGCTGTCATTCTTGGCCCATTGGCTCACTGCGCTTGCTCATGGCACATGATTCACGCAACAACTGATCACTTACCTCACGGTGTGGGGAGTGGTCGTTGGTTTATAATGCTGGCGCGCCCTCCCGAATGTATCGGGGCTTCGGGGGATAGGGCCTGACCAGCGCATCCTTCGGTGAAAAATAATTGATTTTATTGACAAAATGGAGTACAAGATGTAGGGGGGATGAATAATATAGACAATGCTTGAATGATACCTCCTACATTTTTGTCAAAAAGCAGATTTCTGGTTCTGATCATGTCATTTGAGTATTGCTATCAGAACTTGATCTACCATTCAACCACAAAAAGATTCATAATTTTCCACCTCTGTCAAAAAATTTGATTATCTAATATTGTTTCATTCCTCATTCTTATTTCCTTTATTACAGATTCTTGATAAACTACTATTTGCTGCTTCAACTTCAAACCGAATTTCACCATTTCAGTCTTCCGTGCTGCGTTGGAAAAAGTAGTTTACTATAAGTCCAAGATCATCATCCGCATTTTGTATGATTGATACAACCTGCAAATACTAACCTTCGAATGATTTCTGCATTCTTTCAATTCTGGGACCAAGTGAATTTCTTCAATGAAAATATGCACGACATGTATTGAAAGAAACACATAAAAGGCTCAGCTGATACCAGGAGGAAATCCAAGAAATGTAACTGCGGTTCCACTGTTCATTTCATAAAGATATACTACAAGCAGTCAAAGTGAGTCTTTATTATATGATACTCATTTTTAAAGCATTTGAGTTGTATGCTGTTTCGATATAAAATTGTTTATATAACTGGAAGATTGATCAGTCATATTATTTATCTCTTTCTATCGAAATTAGGATATTTTTTTAAGGTATGATGTATATGTCCTGTCATCACTTTCGTTCATGAGAAGTGATCAATAATAATTATTATCTATGGGATTTTTATGCTAACGTCTATTCTGATCTTTAGAATTCAATATAATCCTTTGAGCAAACAACTTTTGAGAAATCCTCGATGGGTGGTTGGAAAACGGTACACAATATGGATAAATAAATAGTATTGACAGTAAAATTTCCAATATTCTTGAATTGGATTCAGAGTTTCATATGAAAATACAATTCCTGATCAGCAATGTTTTGGATGAGGCAACTGATAAAGAGCTCAAACATCAATAAACTGCCTCCAACTGCGAACTTGTAATGTTATTGTCTTGCAACATCTTCATATAGCTCTGGTAGACGTCCATTATATCTCAAAGTGTAATGCAGTAGATTTGCGAAGAATAAAAACTCAAAGTCGTCTCCACAATTTATTATCACCCTCAGATGTTAGAACAGTGAAACCATCAATCAGTACATGTTTCGAACATGTTAATCATTAGCTAACTATTTGAAATTCTACAATAAAAGAAGAACAACATAACAATAGTTGTATGAAGTATAAAATACTTACATGGAGAAGAAAATATTTTATAATGGAGAAAAAATTGTCACATGTTACCAATAAACAAATGGTCACAATGACATGTTAATGATAATGAAAAAATTGTTTTTTAAATTAGTAAAAACGACGGAAAGTTTTAACATCATATCTAGGTATAATAGATTGAACTATGGGAAGTTTAGAGCCTCTACACTTACTCATTAACATCAAAATCATGAAGCGGTACATGAAAACGAATTATAATGAAAGATATCCGAACTGAATTGAATAAAAAAGGAGAAACATCTGTCAAAAATATATAAAGAGATAAAATCGAGATGGCATGGAATAATGACAAGAGATTTGCAAACACAGAACAGCAGAAAAACAGATCCCATACCATCTATACATGCCATCTTGTTATAAAAATTTGTGAAGGTAGTTGGAAGAACAATTGTTCCGATCAGCACCACTAGACGAGACATCTGTTGCCCAATGAAGAAACTGTGTCACACTACTGAAAATGACCATCAAAAATATGTACAACCATACTAATAAAAAAAATAAAATAAGGGTTTATAGAAGATCAAGGCAAGGAAAATTTAGTTAAAATTAAGAGAATTGAAAAACTTGTGGCAATCAAAGTGTACTTGTTTATTAAGAGATATAACATTAGGGTTATTAATAGCAGAATTGATTTCAAAAATGTCAAGTAAATTAAGTAAAGTGCATTTTTGGCAAACGTGCAAAATATTCAAATCAGAATCAATATAAAAACTATGGTTGTAATCAGGAATGTGATTAGAGAACGAACTTTTAGTGTTAAAATCATCTGAGTGTAGACTTCTAAAATTGTCAATTATTTTAACATGTTCAAGCACTCTTTTTTCAAGTTTTCTACCAATTTGTCCGACATACTGAGCAGAACAATTTGGTTGTGAACACGAAATTCTGTAAACGCCTGATTTATGGGAGATTGGTTCTTTATCTTTAGTATTGACTACTTATGATATACTGTTTGGAACCTTTGGTGTAGTAATGAATAGTACTGGAGTTTTTTCCCAACAACAAATCGTTATTTTTAACACCTCGACACGTGTTTCGATCACCAAGTGATCATCTTCAAGTTCATAGGCATCTAGTTGCCTGTTGTTGTTAACTTGTCTAACTAATCTTAATGAACTTAAGTCTATGGAATGGTTTTGTTGCAAAATATGATGGGCAACTGCTGATTTTTCAGGTCTTTCATATTTTGAGTGTGCTATGTGTGATCGAAACACGTATCGAGGTGTTAAAAATAACGATTTGGTGTTGGGAAAAAACTCCAGTAATATTTAGTATTGAATAACAGTTTGGAAATAGGATTCATAGTATAAAATAAAAAATAATATTATTACAGTACCGTCTGAGAATATTTGAAATATCTTGTGAAACTTTATCTCAATAGGGAATAGAACAATATCTATTGCAGTTGTCGCTAGAGATTAAACTATGATAAGGAACTTTAGTTCTGTGTTTCTTTCAGATTCTATCAGTTAGATAAGCATGGAAACCATCTTTATGACCTATTTGTCTAATAATATTCAACTCTATATCGAAATTTTCAAGTGACATCGGAATAATGAATAATCTGTGAAATAATGTATTACTACCCATAGCTAGACCGGAAATCTTTGAAAAATCTTCATTATTCAACTGAAAAAAATTTTGTTGTTGAACGGTAATGTAAAAAAGAACACAAATTGATGACGTGGAATTACAAAATATCTGTTTTAAATAGTAACTCCCTAACTAATCTAATGCAATCTTTGGGGAGGATACTAGGGAACAAATTAACAACGTCGAAAGACATCAGAATAGAATTAGGTAGTACAAATATATCTTTGAGTTCTTGAGCAAGATCAAAAAAAATTTAACAGAGAACTAGGATTGTTGAAATGAGTGATGTCATTAATAAGTTAATATAACCAAGAAGTAAGCGTGGAAGCCGAAGATTTGCAATAAGATACAACGGGTCTAATAGAAATACCACATTTATGTATTTTAGGCAGTCCATAAAGCAAAGGGGTGGCAGGATTCATAGGAGTGAGTTTGAATTTACAAGAATTGTAAAGTTCACTAGTGTCAATACAAACAATATGAAGATAACTTTGAATGTTTGTATTGACACTATTAAATTTTACAATTCTTCTAACTTCAAACTCACTCCTATAAATCCTACCACTCCTTTGCTTTATGGACTACCTAAAATACATAAAGATGATATTTCCATTAGACCCGTTGTCTCTTATTGCAATTTTCCAGCTTCCAAGCTTGTTTCTCGGTTGAATTCACTTATTAAAGACATTACTCATTTCAACAATCCTCGTTCTCTGTTGAATCCTTTTGATTTTACTCAAAAAATCATAGATTTAGTTGTACCATCTAATGACAGATGGTGCCTGATATTGTTTATTACATCAACTACGTTTTCTTAAGCCACATAATTCTCGGACCCATTGTTCACTCACCTCACCATATAGGGAATGGCCATTGGTTATTGATACCGACATACCTTCTGTAATGGCAGAGCTTTGAGAAAAGGGACCGACCAATACAATATTTTTGTTGAATATAAAGGTAATAACGATATTCAGTACACTGTAGAGAATCTTTAATATTTTTATTGAAACAGACGAATAGAAAAATATGGGTAACCTTTATGATATATCAACAATGATATGCGGAATATATAGAAATTATATTTTTCCGTCTCTCACCTAAATTGTAGTCAAGTAATCAGTATGTTGAAACTACTTTGAAGGCTTGAGAGGGGTATAATTTTATGAAAGATTTATTTTCTAGGAGAGGAAGGTATTGGCTTTCTACTTTTCCATATGGAAACTTTTTAAAGAAAGGAAGAAGATTCAACTCACTCGTGACATGAAATCGTGATTCAATGAATTCTTTGAGTGCTTCATCTCATAATGTTATCCAGATTTGTGCTGATGAGGTAATAAGGCAAGTGTCTTATTCCAAAACATCGGATGTCCGCCATTGAGGCGGTGAAATTCACTATATTATGTAGTAGTTGTGTTAATGATATGTGATTCAACTCCATAACGAATGTTTGAAATTCCAACCGAATGGAATATATGTTTTTTGCATAATTCAATGGATGTCCGCCATTGACACGGTGAAATTCTTTCATTCACTCTATTGTGTACTAATCCTGTGAATGATATGTGATTCAACTCCATAACGAATGTTTGAAATTCAAACCGAATAGAAGAAGTGTTTTTGGCATAATTCAATGTTCATATAAAAGTATCGTTTCGGAAGTATTTCTCTTTCGTGTAACTCAATGTTTATATAAAAGTAAGTAGTTGTTTCGAGAAAGCTCTCCCTTCAAGTTTGTGTCTGATCTACACATCTTTATGAATAATTCATTTTGACATCCATCGCTCTCTTCCTTCCTTCGAAAGGATCCCACACACTTCAAAGGTATTATGTTCGATAACAATATATGCCAGGATAAATGAATTTGAAACATTCAATAAAATTTGAAATTATTTGCTGGATATAACAGTTATTTATTCACTCCAGATTGTATGTCAAAAAAAAACTATGCAGTATATCTCATGCAGTATAACTAGCAAAATATAAATCACCAGAAATTAGTTCACTTTTTATGAAGATCATATTTGAAGTGCAATTGACGTAATGAATAAATAATTCATCTTCTAATATAGTACATTTCAAGATAATTCAACTGGTTACCTATCATTGGAAAATATTATAGATACTCATTTATTAACGGACCTACCTACTTTTTAATTATGAAACGTGCAGATTGAAACATGAACCTTAAAATCAGTTTTCGCAGATATCAATGGTTATGTTAACACCTCATTTTTTTATCTTCAGTATAGAAATTCTAGAACTATTATAAGTGTTTGGAAAAATAACCACCAGTTTCATTAGCAATGTTCATTAAGTTGAAAAAAATTTTCATTTTCAATCGTTTATTGCCTGGCAGAAATATCTACATCTACAGATATTAACTACCTGACGAGACCCAATGCTACAGCTACAAAAGTTTTAATTAATCTGTTCAAAAAAATCTGTTCTTCTGTTAACCAGCTGTCGCACCCCTACGAACGACAACCCTCATAAGTCGAAACTTGTGCGAGCTAAGGATTAACGAGGTCTTACCTTTTAACTTGTGATTCCTAACACGGGTTGGACGATAGCAAGTGAAGATCGATCGTTCAGACTAGGGCTTGAACCACCGACCAACACGGCAGTCAATTCGAGTGAGTGAACAA